CCATAAGACAATCTAAATAGCACCCCTCCATAAGACAATCTACATAGCACCAACCACATAAGACAATCTACATAGCCCCCTACATAAGACAATCTACATAGCCCCCCTACATAAGACAATCTAAATAGCACCCCTCCATAAGACAATCTACATAGCACCAACCACATAAGACAATCTACATAGCACCAACCACATAAGACAATCTACATAGCCCCCCTACATAAGACAATCTACATAGCACCAACCACATAAGACAATCTACATAGCACCAACCACATAAGATAATCTACATAGCCCCCCTACATAAGACAATCTATATAGCACCAACCACATAAGACAATCTACATAGCCCCCCTACATAAGACAATCTACATAGCACCCCTACATAAGACAATCTACATAGCCCCCCTACATAAGACAATCTACATAGCACCAACCACATAAGACAATCTACATAGCCCCCATCCATAAGACAATCTACATAGCACCAACCACATAAGACAATCTACATAGCCCCCCTACATAAGACAATCTACATAGCCCCCCTCCATAAGACAATCTACATAGCACCAACCACATAAGACAATCTACATAGCCCCCCTACATAAGACAATCTACATAGCCCCCCTACATAAGACAATCTACATAGCACCAACCACATAAGACAATCTACATAGCCACCCTACATAAGACAATCTACATAGCACCCCTCCATAAGACAATCTACATAGCACCAACCACATAAGACAATCTACATAGCCCCCCTACATAAGACAATCTACATAGCCCCCCTACATAAGACAATCTACATAGCCCCCCTACATAAGACAATCTACATAGCCCCCCTACATAAGACAATCTACATAGCCCCCCTACATAAGACAATCTACATAGCCCCCCTACATAAGACAATCTACATAGCCCCCCTACATAAGACAATCTACATAGCCCCCCTACATAAGACAATCTACATAGCCCCCCTACATAAGACAATCTACATAGCACCAACCACATAGCCCCCCCCCCTACATAAGACAATCTACATAGCACCAACCACATAAGACAATCTACATAGCCCCCCTACATAAGACAATCTACATAGCCCCCCTACATAAGACAATCTACATAGCACCCCTACATAAGACAATCTACATAGCACCAACCACATAAGACAATCTACATAGCACCAACCACATAAGACAATCTACATAGCACCAACCACATAAGACAATCTACATAGCACCAACCACATAAGACAATCTACATAGCACCAACCACATAAGACAATCTACATAGCACCCCTACATAAGACAATCTACATAGCACCAACCACATAAGACAATCTACATAGCACCAACCACATAAGACAATCTACATAGCCCCCCTACATAAGACAATCTACATAGCCCCCCTACATAAGACAATCTACATAGCCCCCCTACATAAGACAATCTACATAGCCCCCCTACATAAGACAATCTACATAGCCCCCCTACATAAGACAATCTACATAGCACCAACCACATAAGACAATCTACATAGCCCCCCTACATAAGACAATCTACATAGCCCCCCTACATAAGACAATCTACATAGCCCCCCTACATAAGACAATCTACATAGCACCAACCACATAAGACAATCTCCATAGCACCAACCACATAAGACAATCTACATAGCCCCTCTACATAAGACAATCTACATAGCACCCCTACATAAGACAATCTACATAGCACCAACCACATAAGACAATCTACATAGCACCAACCACATAAGACAATCTACATAGCCCCCATCAATAAGACAATCTACATAGCACCAACCACATAAGACAATCTACATAGCCCCCCTACATAAGACAATCTACATAGCCCCCCTCCATAAGACAATCTACATAGCACCAACCACATAAGACAATCTACATAGCCCCCCTACATAAGACAATCTACATAGCCCCCCTACATAAGACAATCTACATAGCACCAACCACATAAGACAATCTACATAGCCCCCCCTACATAAGACAATCTACATAGCACCCCTCCATAAGACAATCTACATAGCACCAACCACATAAGACAATCTACATAGCCCCCCTACATAAGACAATCTACATAGCCCCCCTACATAAGACAATCTACATAGCCCCCCTACATAAGACAATCTACATAGCCCCCCTACATAAGACAATCTACATAGCACCAACCACATAGCCCCCCCCCTACATAAGACAATCTACATAGCACCAACCACATAAGACAATCTACATAGCCCCCCTACATAAGACAATCTACATAGCCCCCCTACATAAGACAATCTACATAGCCCCCCTACATAAGACAATCTACATAGCACCCCTACATAAGACAATCTACATAGCACCAACCACATAAGACAATCTACATAGCACCAACCACATAAGACAATCTACATAGCACCAACCACATAAGACAATCTACATAGCACCAACCACATAAGACAATCTACATAGCACCAACCACATAAGACAATCTACATAGCACCCCTACATAAGACAATCTACATAGCACCAACCACATAAGACAATCTACATAGCACCAACCACATAAGACAATCTACATAGCCCCCCTACATAAGACAATCTACATAGCCCCCCTACATAAGACAATCTACATAGCCCCCCTACATAAGACAATCTACATAGCCCCCCTACATAAGACAATCTACATAGCCCCCCTACATAAGACAATCTACATAGCACCAACCACATAAGACAATCTACATAGCCCCCCTACATAAGACAATCTACATAGCCCCCCTACATAAGACAATCTACATAGCACCAACCACATAAGACAATCTACATAGCACCAACCACATAAGACAATCTACATAGCCCCTCTACATAAGACAATCTACATAGCACCCCTACATAAGACAATCTACATAGCACCAACCACATAAGACAATCTACATAGCCCCCCTACATAAGACAATCTACATAGCCCCCCTACATAAGACAATCTACATAGCACCAACCACATAAGACAATCTACATAGCCCCCCTACATAAGACAATCTACATAGCACCCCTACATAAGACAATCTACATAGCACCAACCACATAAGACAATCTACATAGCACCAACCACATAAGACAATCTACATAGCCCCCCTACATAAGACAATCTACATAGCACCAACCACATAGGACCCGCTGCACAGCAATCCACCCCCCCCCAACCCCCACCTTACCCAGCGATGTTACTATCAAGCTAAGCCTGGGGCTTGATTCATTAACTCAAACAGCTGATTAACTAATTGGGAAGCCGTTGGCTAGAACAGTGAAGAAAATTTATGTATATACTTTTATAAAACGTCACTACAGTCATACATTATTCAGCATTTCTAATGTAAGAACAGGGAAACAAAAATTACAAAGGTTTATAAAAAGAATCTTTTAAATGAACTATAAATGATCATGCAAATGACACATGTTTAAGTCAAATTACATCAATCTTTACATTTCTCAGGCGACCAACAACGTGCTATAGACTACACTTACAGAATTTTTTTATGTATAATTTGTCATTTCTAGAGTATCTATACCTGTATATATAATTCTCTTCATGGGGACCATGCGGGACACCACGTATACACACGCCGAACCACCCCAGGCCATTTCAACAGACCATTTTGTTACCACCCCCATCCCCACAAGTCTGGTGAGCTGTTTACAATCGTAGTGTCACGTCGAATAAGTGACGGCTATTATGGGCATATAATATAGTTTTCTAAACGATTTTAAACTAAGTGGACTTAATAACAAGTTCTGCTTGAACTTTTCATTGTCGTCTGTAAACTGTCGTCACGGACGGCTGCTTTCACGGGGTGCGCGGGGGGGGGGGAGGAATGGAATGTGAGGGTGAGGATAATCGTCCATAACGAGCTACTGATAATGTTTTAAAGCAAATATTTTAAGTCGCAGCATTGGTAGTGTCAAATTCACAAATTATGAATTACTGAAAAGAAGAAAATAAAACAACTAAATATCAGTGTATGCTACGCCGCGGGTAGGCTCGTATATATATCTAATTCTCATCATGGGCTAGACTATGAAAGCCGACTATCTAACCCTCCTCCCGCCACCCCCCCCCCCCTCTCTCGCTCTCCAGGCATGCGCAACAGACCATTTCGCTACCATCCCCACCAGTCTGGTGAGCTGTGGTTTACCCTGAATGTTTACAATCGTAGAGCCGGGTCCAATTATTGACGGTTATTAGGAGCAGATAATTTGGTAAGAAGTTCTGCTTGATCTTTTCATTGTCGTCTGTAAACTGTCGTCACGGACTGCTGCTTTCAAGGGGGGGGGGTGAAGGGAGGCTAGTGTCGAATTCACAAATTATGAATCACTAAAAAGTACAAAATAAAACAACTAAATGACGCGTGTGGATAGAACTGCCAACTAATTCGGTCCAGATTTTAATTAATTCATAAAAAAATAATTAGGCAATCAATTAAGTCAAATTAAATGTCACGATGCATTGTCTTTATGTCTTGACCCACGTACCAATTACGAACCGTATCTGTCAGAAGTGCCTGCAATTTCGCACAGGCGTTTCGATCTAGACAGACAGACAGACTGACGACAGAGGAAGCAAGTTAAATAAAAGCTTGTAAAAAGTATGTTTTTCCACCCAGATAGAGCTTGTACCGGTTAACCCCAAGGTGTAAACAAAACTATCTACAGCTCTGATCCTTAGAATTCTAGATATGATCTCAACTGTACTCAATTTAGCGAGCAGCCGGCCTGAACATCAGCTTACGTATCTAATAGAGTAAACTGTCTAGGTCGTAGCTAACATTCATTTGTAAGCATTCATTTTGCATCTAGGCCTGCTTAAAATGAAATATATTTTTGCATTGTCATATTAATTGAAAAGTTCTAGATCTACGTAATTCCGTGTTTTCAAAATCAAATCGCTTAGAACACATAAATATTACAAGAGAAAAAAGCATACGGTGGTCTCATATTCCCCAAAACAGCACACTGAACTGAAAGCTGTTCCTATATTCCTAAAAACAGCACACTGAACTGAAAGCTGTTCCTTTATTCCTAAAAATAGCACACTGAACTGAAAGCTGTTCCTATATTCCTAAAAACAGCACACTGAACTGAAAGCTGTTCCTATATTCCTAAAAACAGCACACTGAACTGAAAGCTGTTCCTATATTCCTAAAAACAGCACACTGAACTGAAAGCTGTTCCTATATTCCTAAAAACAGCACACTGAACTGAAAGCTGTTCCTATATTCCTAAAAACAGCACACTGAACTGAAAGCTGTTCCTATATTCCTAAAAACAGCACACTGAACTGAAAGCTGTTCCTATATTCCTAAAAACAGCACACTGAACTGAAAGCTGTTCCTATATTCCTAAAAACAGCACACTGAACAGAAAAGCACAACATGCCTACTGCTAGACGACGGCAGGTTATCTCCAGCAGGCGTTCACACACACGAGACGCGAGTACTTCTTCCACAACACACTTCCCTCCCCCTTCTCACACCTCCCCCTCTCCTAGTATTGCCGTAATTGCTGAAAAGCTCACCATTCTAATGTAGGCCTACCAGCTATTTACATTAGCATAGTGCTCTAATGAAATGTACAATAGAGAAATTCTGTATTAAACAACTCCATTTGAAAGGAAAAGTATGGTCCACAGAAATCAAAGTAAAATTTACAATCTTGTGACATTTAAATAATAAATCTTTTTATAAATTTTGTTGCACTTAAATAATTAGTAATTTAGGTTTATATAAAATGCATTGATGACACGAGGATAGTATTCGAATGTGAACCATTTTCGTCCTGAGAGCGTCGAACACATGATCTCTTTAGACCGTCCAGCCTAGGCTTGCAGGCGCAGTTATCGATTGGACTACGGTACACTGCCAGCCGATGACGCCAGTTTGTTTTTATTCTTCCTGCTACGTGTGTAAAGATGTGAAATTGTTGTGGGCTTGTAACACATGTGTAAAGATGTGAAATTGTTGTGAGCTTGTAACACATGTGTAAAGATGTGAAATTGTTGTGAGCTTGTAACACATGTGTAAAGATGTGAAATTGTTGTGGGCTTGTAACACATGTGTAAAGATGTGAAATTGTTGTGAGCTTGTAACACATGTGTAAAGATGTGAAATTGTTGTGGGCTTGTAACACATGTGTAAAGATGTGAAATTGTTGTGAGCTTGTAACACATGTGTAAAGATGTAAAAATTGTTGTGGGCTTGTAACACATGTGTAAAGATGTGAAATTGTTGTGGGCTTGTAACACATGTGTAAAGATGTGAAATTGTTGTGGGCTTGTAACACATGTGTAAAGATGTGAAATTGTTGTGAGCTTGTAACACATGTATAAAGATGTGAAATTGTTGTGAGCTTGTAACACATGTATAAAGATGTGAAATTGTTGTGAGCTTGTAACACATGTATAAAGATGTGAAATTGTTGTGAGCTTGTAACACATGTATAAAGATGTGAAATGGCATCTAACAAATAAAAGGTGTCTTTGTCATTATGGCCATTACAAACATACATAAACCGGGAGTGATCTCCCCTAAACTTTCTCGAATATTCTTATATAACACTACCGGGGATGGCAACTCGGGATAAAGACTTTGATATGTAAGTAAAAGACCTTCTGTCAAATTTTGAGTAATTTCCGTTGACCGGAAGTACTTATTTACGCTATTTCCGATTTCTCAAAAAACGCATGTAAATTTATAAAGTACTAATAATATTGCGCACTATTATGCACACCTTTATTTGGCGTTCACTTGGTGTGCATTTCTTTTTTCTACGAGATTATATTCTATTTTTAAAAAATTGAGTATTTAAAATGGATTAAAAATCATGTCTAGAAGTCTATATCCCGAGTTGCCATCCCCCGTAGTGTTATATTAGAATATTTGAGAAAGTTTAGGGGAGATCACTCCCGGTTTATTTTGTTTTGTTTTTTAAGACAACATTTCGATAAACTTAAACCAAGCCAACATTTGAGCCCTAAGTTTGTCGTCATGTAAGACAAACTTTGATTTGCTCACTGATCTAACATGAATTCATTGCTGGGTCCCGCTATTTTCTTTCACAGGTTATCCTAACAAACTTTGTTTATCATATGGACGTGATTGACAAAATAATTTAATGGACCGTTGACCTTTCGAGAGTTTATTGGAGAAGTCACGTGGACAACGCGGAAATCTTTTTTTTATTAAGGGCCAAGCTTGAATGGAAGCATCTAGTTTACATCGACTACAAACTGGACTTACTAAGAAATGGAGAAGTTTACATCGACTACAAACTGGACTTACTAAGAAATGGAGAAGTTTACATCGACTACAAACTGGAATTACCAAGAAATAGAGAAGTTTAGATCGACTACAAACTGGATTTACCAAGATATAGAGAAGTTTACATCGACTACAAACTGGACTTACCAAGATATAGAGAAGTTTACATCGACTACAAACTGGACTTACCGAGATATGGCGACTCGTAAGGACATCGCTCAATGGCTGGAGCTTGCGGCGGGGGGTGGAGGCTCGTCTGTGCTATTATGTCGGCTACACGGCGATGGTAAACTGTATTCATTAGATGAACGCAATCTGTGGAACACAGTCATTAGATGAACGCAATCTGGGGAACACAGTCATTAGATGAACACAATCTGGGGAACACAGTCATTAGATGAACACAATATGGGGAACACAGTCATTTGATGAACACAATATGGGGAACACAGTCATTCGATGAACACAATATGGGGAACACAGTCATTCGATGAACACAACGAGGGGAACACAGTCATTAGATGAACACAATCTGGGGAACACAGTCATTAGATGAACACAATATGGGGAACACAGTCATTAGATGAACGCAATCTGTGGAACACAGTCATTAGATGAACACAATATGGGGAACACAGTCATTAGATGAACACAATATGGGGAACACAGTCATTCGATGAACACAATATGGGGAACACAGTCATTAGATGAACACAATCTGGGGAACACAGTCATTAGATGAACACAATATGGGGAACACAGTCATTCGATGAACACAATCTGGGGAACACAGTCATTCGATGAACACAATATGGGGAACACAGTCATTAGATGAACACAATCTGGGGAACACAGTCATTCAATGAACACAATATGGGGAACACAGTCATTCGATGAACGCAATCTGGGGAACACAGTCATTAGATGAACACAATCTGGGGAACACAGTCATTCGATGAACACAATCTGGGGAACACAGTCATTAGACGAACACAATATGGGGAACAGTCATTCGATGAACACAATATGGGGAACACAATCATTCGGTGAAAATATGAACATGGCAGTAGGGCCTACAGTAAATAGGGGTCGTATTTAGACGTGATATCCCAGCATTGGAATGTAAACTGTTATTGAATTATTTAGACGTGATCTCCCAGCATTGGAATGTAAACTGTTATTGAATTATTTAGACGTGATCTCCCAGCATTGGAATGTAAACTGTTATTGAATTATTTAGACGTGATCTCCCAGCATTGGAATGTAAACTGTTATTGAATTATTTAGACGTGATCTCCCAGCATTGGAATGTAAACTGTTATTGAATTATTTAGACGTGATCTCCCAGCATTGGAATGTAAACTGTTATTGAATTATTTAGACGTGATCTCCCAGCATTGGAATGTTAACTGTTATTGAATTATTTACCCTCATCCACAGGTTCTGTGTCCTTCTGGTTCAGTTCCCTTTGCTCAACGTACTGACAGAGTAAAATGACGAGTCCTATGATGAGCCCTAAACCCATGATACACAATAGCATGCAGACGAAAGCGTTGAATTGGTCACCTTCTTCCTCATCTAAGTGGACACGCCGCCTACGGTCAGAGTTGTAGGATTCTGCTGAGCAAAAGATCTAGGGTTAAACAACTGAAACTATTGGAAGTTACAAAATGAATACACGCTATAAAAACTGTTCTTCATTTTGGATTTGAAACAAACAAAAAAAAATTAAGTTCACCCAAGGTGCTATTACTGTGTTGACACGGGAGAAATACAACTTGTACTAAGCTGATAATCGTGCCAGAACTTCAGCTTTAACCTGTTTTTGATAAGAGAAAATTTTGGAGCCCCCGAAATTGGGGGTCACCCGTTTAATTCCTTAATCCGCCATGGTCAACAAAATTGTCTATACTCGTGTTGAAATAAACCTTGCCATATCCATTGTGGCTCCCATTTGCCGTCTAGTTTCGGTTTTAATTCTCATTTAATTCGGCAAATAAAGCAATAATACAAACTTACCTATCACTTCAAAAAACGTATTCAATACAGGTTACTTCACGCCTTTTGAAAACGTTTGGAATAAATCGCCATTTGTAAGCTATTAGACGGGTCACTCATGCACTCACATGTTGAAGTAAAACATGTTTTCCTAGCCTGGTTTGTTAAGATTCAGTGTTTTATTTCCTGAAACTAATTGATCAACAGAATTGTGTGCCAGAAATAAAATGTATACTATTTTAGGGAGCGTCGCATTATGTAAATATTTTAAAGCTGTTGAGTGGCGGGGGTTTAAGGGGAATAACTGATATTTTTGTGGCCTTTGTTTCGTTAATAAAATGGCTTGTCATTTTAACACAATTTGAAGACGGTTAGAAATGTTTCCATTGGTTGCTAGGGTTAGCCTATAATGCTGATTGTCTGAATGCTTGCGAGTGAGAAATAACACACAGTATAGACTTTATACAGTATTATTTTTCATACTTTTTTATACCATCGCGTAACGCGATTTTCTGCGATAGGACGAAATAATTTAATTGCTGCTTTTTACAAGCTTTTATTTAACTCACTTCCTCTGCCCGTCTGTCTAGATCGAAACGCCCGAGCGAAATCGCAAGCACTTCTAACTGACAGATACGGTTCGTAATTGGTACGTGGGTCAAGAGATAAAGACAATGCATCGTGACATTAAACTTGACTTAATTGGTTGCCTGATTAATTTTTTATAAATTAATTAAAATTTTTACTAAATTAGTAGGCAGTTCTATTCACAAAAGCGCGTCATCATGTTCAATAGCTGCACAATGGTTTTAGTTATGTAACTCTATTGTAAATAAAAACATGTAAAGTACTAAAAAAAAATTCATTAAAAAAAACGACAGAAATGTTTTCGTTATACAGCTCAAATAAGGAGAATTTCACTCGCGGTCATCTTTTAGCCTTCACCGAGGGCTATGAGTCAAAACGACATTTTTTCCATATGGCCTAGCCATTTATCTAGGTGCTAGCAAAAAAATAGCCAGATGTGCAGACAGTAAGTGCCCTAAAATCTGTGTTGAAATTACCCTCGGTTTTCACATAAAATATAAAGATTATATAGGGAAATACTACTGGTCAGTTTTGACCACTTTACGAAGTTTTCCCA